AAGGTACTGGCAACGTTTGTTCAACGGATTATCAATGTCTTGGTGGACAGAAATGTCACTCTGAAGTGTGTGAGTGTGACGGTAATGAAGTGATACTCGGTGGAAGATGCGTTAAAAATGATGGCTTTTGCTTACAAGGAGAGCAGGTTCCAGCCTTTAATTCCTGCTGCTGATCAAAGAATTGAGAAACTGTTTCAGAATAAATAGCGCTGCATCAATTTCCCTCGTTTGCTCTTCGACAGACAAACGAAATCCCCAGAATATCAGTGATAAGCTTACAGTTAGGTAAGGAAGAAGGAAGTGGTTGATAAATTCATGACAAAGGATAAAAACAACGAAAAGCATTGGGGAACAATAGAAAAGGTGTTGAAATTCTGGAAGACATACACACAACTAGGAAAATTTCTAAAACTTTTGAGAAATCAGAGAGAGAATGTGAACGCCAAGTGAACTCCAGCCAGCATCCATAATTTTCTGATGGAATCCAGATGTGACCTCGCCAAAAACCTTGCCGTTTGTCTGATCATAATTGGGTGGGTGCGAGATAAAATGTGATCTAGAGGTGCACGGTTTTAAGGTTTACTTCAATGGTAAATGCTACAAGACAGTGCGAGTTGGTGAAGCGTGCAGTACGAACTATCAATGCAAATCAGGCGCTGTGTGCTCGAATGGTCGATNACGAAAGTTAAGTTTCATCATCCGAATCGATAGTGCATGATATCCGTGTACATCTTATACATATACAGCTAAGTACAGATCACATATCACTTTGGTGTCCCTCAAGAATCGTCTCTTTCGCGCTCCGTCGCAAAAGACGACGACTGAGCTGCATATCTAGGCTTTAACTGGGATTTTTCTCAGGGCGCACTCCTGTCACTCGTGTTCATGTTGATCATCCACTTTGATGATGATCCACTGTTGATTGGCAAATATCAATGGAACAATAATTTGAATCATAAACAAGAGCGGTCATAATTTTTGTAGCGATGCTTATGGAAATTTCAGGGTCAAATGATATTATTGGAAGATGCGTTGAACAGAATGGAAATTGCACGAATCATCAAATTTTCGTTCAAAATCGTTGCTATAACCTTTCAAAACCTGGCCAGAACTGCCAACTTGACGCCCAGTGTATCGGTGGATCCGACTGCATGAACGCTGAATGCAAATGTCCTCCAAAAACCACACTAATCAATGACGTGTGCGTTTAATATACATTCGGTTTAAATTGCAACACTTGAAATCAGCTTCAGAAACAGCTGTTCGCATTTGTTCTTGACGACGACTATCTTTCTCGAAAATCTCTTCTCCTTTTGGCTGATAACATATTCTTTCATGATATCATTGCGACTACTTGTAACCTGAATCATT